TTAGACTGCAACTTCTTGCTCTAATTATACAAATATTTCTAATAGAGGCGGTATAGAAAAACTTTTTGTTTTTTGGACTTCATTAATCACCATCTTATGTTTCAGCATTTTTGGTGCGAACATCCACTCAACAGAGCGAATACCCATAGCCCTTATTTCATTTGTAAAGAGAGAGCGTTCCAGTTTATATCTAGGCTTGTGCGGTCAGCAAGCGACATATGGCACTAAAGGAGACAGATACTGAATTAGAGTACAGATAGGTAGTCTACATAGTTTGTTTTTTATCATTGTTTTTCAGCTCAGTTGTTCAAAATTAGCCGTTCATTGTAGAACAGACTGGATGTGGTGGAATATCCACTGTATCGCATCGTTCAAGTGCTCTAAACATTTTTCTCACTGGCAACATTTCCACTGTTGCTCTACGCACAAATAATTTACATTTTTGGTTTAATGATTATCGGAATATAAAGTAAGCTTTCCAAAGTTTTCAAGCTCGTAGCACATGTAGCCATAATTTGAAAGATACTAAACAGGTTAGAACAAAGAACTGGTTAATGGATAATAACATAGCCATGGGTGGTCTTCATTCGTAATGTAGCAACATGGGAGATTCGGATCTGAGAGGAGATAAAATAACAGAGATTGTCCCCTTCACCACATGAATTTCAAAGCTCTTAACTGCTTTGCTTTGAGATCATCCCGCTCTTGTACTACTCTTTGGCACTGCTACATTCAGCGGCATATAGCAATGCCCAGGTGAAGTTGAAGCATTAAAACACTTATGAACGGTATCGATAGGGCCATATGGTTCTTTTCTGTTGTCGACGAAGAAATGAAGAATGGACCCCTTTAGCTGTAGAAAGACTTTCCAGTGGACTTTCAGTAATCATTCAAAAACTTGAATCTCTGACGACTATGCTCCATAGCCATCTTTCAGTAGAAACTTTATGCAAGGGTGTAACAGAAAGAAAACATTTGTGCAACATTTTTTCAGATCTATACAATGATTAGTTCATTTGTGATCAAGCCTTGCGATTTCTTGCCGCTCACCTACATCTACATGTGTCTGCATTTTGCCATTAGCGTGTCATGTCAAGGGTTGGTAAGTTCCAAACACTTGCTACAAATTCCTACAATATGACTCAGTACACATCCTTCAATCATTGCCAACACTGATTTTCCATACCATATGAAAAATCTTTTGTGATATACTAAATAAGGAAGTTGGCATTTTTCTGAGCGAGTTGTTGACATACCGAACAATGCTTCAGTATTTCGGAAGCAATGAAGGGTAACAGAGTAGTAAACGATTCTTTCAAATTGAGATATTGTTAGCAAGGAGGCTTATAGTCAATCTTTGCTTTTCTAACATGTGTTATTGGGGCCACAAATATGATAGCAAGAGACGAAACTTGCATGCATTATATCAAGGGTGCCTTTTTTGTCTTTCAAGCGAGAATTGATCAAATTTAACTAATATATATATATATAATATATACCAAGGAAGGTAAGGGCGAAACATGTGTCTCGGGCTGTACAAGAGCCCTTACCAGACCACATGACATATTGGCTCAAATAAAAATGAAAGGATCTATTGAAATTTGAGCGTGGTCATAATAAAGCACTCGAAGGAAAGGTTTAATATGATGAAAATACCAGCCAGCTAGCAATCGAGTGCGAAAACACTCTGTGTTAGGTGTATGTTTCACCTGACATAGAGTGTAAAACGTACGTTCGTCGATAACTATATATAAGGAGTGTGACGCTCCCGAGAGAACTGACTATGAAAAGATCGACAGACGACGGGTTCTGCCCGGCTGATGAGTCTGTAAGGACGAAACACGTGTCTCGGGCTGTACAAGAGCCCTTACCAGACCACATGACGTGTTGGCTCAAACAATGATGAAAGGATATATTAAAATTTGAGCGTGGTCTAAACAAAGCACTCGAGATAAAGGTATATTACCAAGGAATATTGTTGATCTAGAGAAACCGTATTTATTGTTCTTTTCCGTACACACTCTCGCAGTAAAGTTGATTTTCTCCGAAATGGATCAGATTGGCGCTAAAGTAATAGCGTTAGAATTAAAGACATTTCCACTAGTCATTAAAGAGCCATTACAGTCAACACATCTTTGTAACAAGAAATAAACTTGCTTGTTCCTCTAATACGAAAATCGATGCCACGGGATTCGGCGAGGACTTTTCCGTGCAAGAAATTGTCGAGATGCTTGAAGGAATCGTAGGCGCGGTGGACGTGAGGTCTGGCGAGTATGAAGGATGAGGCAAAACTTTGTAGCCAAACTTGGTCAGCTCTTAAAGCGTTCGTTGTCCATGTGTGGCTGCCGGCTGGGCGTAATAAAACCGTTATTACTTTTGTACCAATCTTTTTCACCCTTCCAGCTTGCTTCGTATAGCGATCGGTTGTGGAATGCTCATCGTTGAGTTTATCTGCAACGCTCATGTAGTCTTGTAAGGATTAGTTTCGATGATTGTTTTTTTAATGAATTCTGACAAGTTTGATGCAAAATAAATTGCGGTTTATGCAGTGTTAAAATGTGTCTCTTTTACGAAACTTTTGAACCACCAGTGCGCCCTATGTTTATAGCAATTTCTGAAATAAATTCGTTGTTGATGCTAATAATCGTTTCTGCTGTTTTACGACCCATTTCAAGCTTATGGTATGAAACCACAGGCAGTTTCACACAATTTATTATATTTCCCTAGTCCAAAAAAAAAATAATATGAAGAGCAAGTAAAACGTCATTAGAAACACGTAAAATACACAAATCACCGAGACGTCAACCATCTTGCTTCAAGAAGAAGCATTATTAACTAACAGTGACTTAGCAGGGTAGCTCGTCAGATACGAATTTCTGAGCCGTAATTTTAGGTTACAAAAAAAAAGTTTGGTTACTACAGCAACGACATAAATAAGGAAATCCTCATAAATAACGAAAACTTAAACGAAATATGCAAAAGGTTTTTTGTGTTGATATTACAATTGCGCTTGATCGTTCAAAATGCACGTAGATCTGACCATACAAGGCTTTGTAGAAGGTCATACCGCCGAAAAGACAGTCATTACTGTATCCAAGAACTCTTCTTCATCAACCTTGTGCCAGCTTCAGGAAAAATGCACATTATAAGAACAACGTTGTCAATGTTGTAATTATTGAATAGTCGATTATGTGAATGCTTAAGGGCGGTTCGTATAACATAGATTCTGCACCGTAATTGCACATACCAAGAAACTTTGAAGTCATCGAGAGTTAAATAAAGAATATAGTTTTGTCGCATTCGCTTATACGAAAAACCTCACATGCGTAAAGCAAATTGAGTCGAAAAACGAGGTGGATCATTGTAAACCATACTTAAACAGGACAGAATTGTTAGAATGCATCAGATGAAAGCACAGAGCTGATACCTTAGCGAAGAAAGAGGAATGTATCATTTTTTGAGGTAGATGTAGCACTAAATTATTCTGATGAAGGCACCGGGCGCCGTGCCCGATTGGTTGTGATGTTCATCGCGGTGCGCATGAGCTAAACCCTCTCCTTCCTCCCCCCCCCAACACTGTCCAGTAGTCAACAACGAACGCCTCGTAAAACGCCACAGCCAGGCTATCCTCGAGGTTTTAAGGAGGCTTGCTCAGTCAGTACTCTACGGCGTTAAAGAAGAAGGCGAAAAAAACGAAATGAATGTTGAAAGTGCTGACATTCGTACAGCGAAAAAAAAAACACTGTGAAAGTGGACCAATGAAGTGCCAAAGTACGGTTGGGATTGATTATTCTCAAATATATGAAGTCACCTTTGAAAAAGAACTTTACATTATCTTTATCTGAAACAAGTGATAATTTTGATAGCATCATCGTTACACACAGTTTCTATCTGTAGATAAAGAAAGCAAGATTCAAGTCCTAATTAGGGGGAAGGAAGGAAAACGAAGTGGCCAATAAATTATCTAAAGAAAGGCGCTGGCCCCTCCCACAAAGTTCTTCTGCAATCGCCAATCTCAGAAACTCTGCTCTTAACGAAAATTTTCATCACAAGAATAATGCCAATCTCACTTGACTTTGCTTCTTCTAAGAGCAGCAATTAACATTCAGTATATGATAAACGCTTAGAAATTTACGTCATCTGTTAAGCCAGACGTCACACGTGGATAATTAACCTATAAACATAAATACTAGGGAGCATGTTACCGTGTGATAAAGGTGATCTGCAATGGACTTGTGGCCCTTGGTCTAATCCCGCGCTGCTGTTCACCAAGCTCTCCATCTGTGCGACGTTGGCAAAATGTCACTAGTCAACTTGTTCAAGAGGTCTATTCTAGGACTGTGGAGCAATCACAATTGGAATTTGAATAGTGAGAGCAATGGCGGCTTTTGAATTAAGAAGTTAGGGACTACTGGGCATTAAGCAGGCCTTTAGCGCACAATAGCAATATGTTTAATTCAGCATTTCTTCCCACCTTAGCAAGTAGCATTATTTTCCGCATTTGGAATGACTTTCTCATTTCCACGCGGAGCATTAACTAAGAGTAGATTAGGGCATGGATCGCATTTGTGCTAGTAACATGTGAGTAGCTGTCAAGTAGTGACAACTTGACAGATTTTCCAGGACCGACTCTCTATTGACCTGGGCATTATTTGAATATTCGGTATTCCTATATAACTAAGAGAATTGGGTGGTGAGCAAAAACACGGTCTCAGACAGGAATCGAACACGCGTTTCATTCTATCCGGTGGCGCGTGCTCTACCACTACACCACTGAGGCACATGTACTCCACCACCCATTCATCAACATCTCTAAGTTAGCTATCAGCCACCAACTTTGAGTGGTTTGGTCAAGTATGCGATTTCGCTCTATGAATCCCGTTAAGCTGACAGCCACTGTTATATAAAATACTTCGAAATTATAGTGAATTTACTGCTTTTTTTCGCAGTGTTATGATGTACTTATATAACTAAGAGGACTGAGTGGTGAGCAAAAACACGGCCTCAGACAGGAATCGAACCCTCGTTTCATCCTATCCAAGGACGCGTGCTCTACCACTGCACCACTTTTTAGTACTCTTATTTTATACGCAGATGCAAGATTGATAATAATTACATTTATTGATTATAGTTGTTATACAGCACGGTAACAAAACATGGCTGAGGCTTAGGTTTATTCGCCTTCTTCAGAGCTTGGAAGTTCCTACTAGTGGCAGTAGAATGCATGTCAGTTTCATTGTTCTAGGCTGTAAAAAAGACGAGTTCACCGCAAAGTCAGCCAGTGGATTTTTACTGGCTGTATTGCTATAGTAATCAAGAACTATATCATAATCAACCTCGGATCTGCTAATCATTATAAAATACTGGACCTAAGAAAGTTCAAGCACAACTTTTACAAGAAAGAAAATAATGCTCAGGCTAGAAATTACTGCAGAAGTAGGAAAAATTCAAGTATCTTGCAATTTTGCAATCCACATGTATAAACTGTTCATGTATCAAGTAATCTAATGACGTATATGCTCTCAAGCCAGTTGATCGCTCTACCTTTAAATTAAAGTGTATAATGGGTAAGCAACATGGCTGTGAAGCATCTCACTAACAACGAGACGGATTTGATTAGAAACGTTATTATTCTAAGCAACAGGGTCGAATGCTCCTAATAACCTTTTCACAAACGGCATCGACTCAAGCACTAGTTGAATTCGAAGTTTGTAAGTTTTGAGTTGCTTCAGGTGCAGTATTGAACGATGGGGGAACTCGCTTATTGTGTTCTAACATGAAGATTACATGAGCTAGAACTGTTTATCTTATAAATGTTGATTAACATTGTTTGATTTTGCCAAGATTAAAGGGCCTGTTGATGTAAGTAGAGGGGCAAATCTCGACAATTCTCCATCATTAAAGTAATTAAAGAGTTTGGAATTCCACGAATCTATCGCATTATTCGTATGTACCATTTTCACACAGTGACTCCGATGACCTATTCCCTACCTTATTCTACCTTAATCTCGACACTGATGAACATTTCATATTTTCTTCACACGCACACGCAACATTGTTGTCACATGATGTATTTACACAAAATAGTGAGAGTGTATGTGAGCGTCTCGTCTTGTACAAATATGACTCCGTGTTTTTCACTGTAATAATAGTAAGAATGGAGATATGAAAATTCGGATCTTTTCTAAAATCCGCCGCATTTGGGCTCAGGCTTAGGCTTAGGCTTAAGCTTAGGCCTATTCAATAATGATTTCAGCTTTTGCTCCCAGAGAGTAAGAATAAAGACATTTGACAATAGCATTATCTAATTTTTATAGTAAAATAGGATTTTCAAAAATGTCGTAGGATTCTAGAAAACGATGTGCAAAAATGCGGCGCCACTTGAGGGCTTTCGGTAAAAATGTACTTTTTGCTTTTGCAAAACGTTTCTGTAGTTTGTCAATAGTTCTAATCGAGTAAATTTCAATGACATGTTTAATTTCGTAGAATTACTCCATACTATCTTTCTTTACAAGAGTGCATGTGGCGAGTGGTTAGAGGTGCTCTGCGCCAAACACGAGGTCAATGGTTTGATCTCGCGCTCATGGCTCACCAAGTCATCCATCCATCCGAGGTCGGCAGATTAGTATCAGACTGGTCTCAGACTTGTCTGGGAGGATAAGCAGCACTGAGTCGGTTCAGCGGAAGGCCAGCGCGAGTCATTGTAAAGGCCAGATATTCAATCACTTTAAAGACGAATGCGTGACGCATCCCTCAGGGATTGGTCAACGTCGAGAGCTTCATCCTTTATCCTTTTTATCCGTCTTTACGGGAGCACTGAATAGCTTAATTTGTGAAGACAATCTTCGAATGATCACAAATCAACATTCATCTTACACTAGTTTTTCAACATTTCTATGACACACATCACAGCCACGATAGCTGTCAAGATTTACGTTTTCAGGTATATGGGAACATCAAAAAAGAAATCTAATTCTCATAAATGCCCTGTTGACATTCAGTCTCAGAACAATATTTTATAAGAGTCTTGCATTACGGTTAGCATTTGCTCCTTCAGATCAGATCTGTATAACAACATTGCCGTCAGGAAGGAACAATCTGTGTAGACCACTTCCAGCAATATTCACTCTCTCGTATTCCCATTTGAGTATCGCCAAATACAGGCAGTCACTTGGCCAAGTAGACTTGCAGATACGCTTGAAATGCAACGATTATTCAGCGTTAATTCGTCGTAATTCGGCGTTCAAATCAGTCTGGCTAAAGAATTCCAACTTCCCTGAGCCTAATCTATTTTTCAAAACAAGGTATAACGCTAAATTTGACCATGAAAGTGCTGAACGAACAGACTTTGAACTCGTGGCGGATTTGAATTCGTGATTACCATTCCACAAGTTTCTTTAAGTTTTCACTTCGGCATCGAGGCCCTCACTCTGCTTTTTCTTAGCCAATTTTTCATCCATGCTTCAACCCTTTTGCTCGTATTTGAATATTCATGTGAGTTATTGTGCAAATTTCCAGTAGGAAGTATGAAGAACAGAGTAAAATCAAAGGCATCAGACTATAATATTGATAAGAGTGAAGAGTTTCCACTAATTCTTTGTCAGATAAGTGTTGATTGACGGAACGTCTTTCTTCGCCGTACCTCCTAATATTTGAGAAGAGTTTCAAAAGACAATATCGAAATTAAACACAAATTGGTCTATAGTGTCAAGCATGGTTGACTAAATAAAAAAACAACCATTCCTTAATTCATAATCAATTTACTAATATGTCTCGTCTTATATATTCACTCGTCAGAACCCATAAGTTAGTCGACTGCCGGTTGCCACAACGTCAGGTATTTCATTATCTGACTGGGAGTAATTCACTGCTCGGCGCCGATGCCTTTACAGAGTATTATTTAACGGATCGGCTGAACTAAAAAAAGTGTTAGTGTTTAGTACTAGACCCAACGGCTCAAAGCATATTACATTCTTACTTATAAGTTAGTTGAACAGATAACCTTTCATCTATCGATTCCTCAAAGTTCAAAGATAGTCATATTTTTGATTGTGTAGATAGTCGCATAGAGAGAATAACTCAATTTGTTGGTAGCATATGCAGTCATTATACATTTGAATCCCCACGTTGGAGCTCTGTTTTCAACGATTCTCTTGTTCTTGCTTTGAATAAGAATTTCTAATGAGCACAAACGGAATTGTTGTTATACGATATATTCCCACAAAGCAAAAGTGAATGTGAAGTGGTTGTGTGAAATAAATCTTGTAATAACATGGTCGCGTAGATAACGTAAGATGGATAAACAGAACAACAAATTTCTATGCAGTGTTTTCTTCCAGTTTCAGTGCAATTGAACTATATTTTCGAAAATTTTCTGTATCAGTTGCAATCCAATGAAAGAACAACCTCATATCGAACAAAGCAACACTGCTAACAGAGTTTAGCACAAAATACTCTATTTCTGTTCCCAATTTTGGCCAATACAACTAATTTCAAAACGCTTCATTTTCAGTCTAACAACATTTCAAACCTTTCAAAGGTTTGGTAAAGGCATCTCTACGGGTATACGTTCGCTACGGCATATTCTCGCATGCCTCATGAGTACTTGTACTTTCAAAAATGCTTTCAGTTATTTTTGAGCCATGCATGTGGTCTGTTATGGGCAGTTATGCAATAGACGTGTATCTGCCTTCCAACGCCGTCAGTTTTACGACGCCTTTCCGCTCAGTCAGTTCTGCGGGAGAAATCCCTGTTTATAGAAGTTGACGTCATACGTTTTACAGGTGCCGTTAAGTGATAAAATCAGCGAATCTGCAGTGTTGTATATTCGACTGCCCTTAGCTGGTAAATGCCTAGCTCTTGTATACACAGGATTTCTCCCCGCATATTTGACTGAGCAGAAGAAAGAAGGTTGAAACACGTGCATTGCATTGCATGAGTGCCCATAACAGACCACATGCATGGCTCAAAAATAATCGGGCATATCGAAATTTGAGTGTGATCTAAAGAAACACTCGAAACGAGAGGTATGGTGATTTCAAAAGATTTCAAAATAGGTCCTATAGTAAGACAATTATTTTTCACAAGATCACTTGGAAACGGCTAGCACTTACTCCACTAGGCCAAAAGTTGATCCTCATAAGGACATTGTCATCAGAAAAACGCAGCCCGTATAGTTTAGTTACCATTCGTCGATCTTTACTTCCATATCATCTCATTCAAGTATTGCCAACTACGGATAATAAATTGATCACATGAGCTTGATCATAGATACGATTGAACCGACTTAACATTTCATATTTAAGGCCTGTCTGGCAACGGCTTTCAATCAAATTTCGGGTAAAGGTGATGAGCAAGCATAATTCTGAGTGATACTCGCAACTATACTTTCTCCTGTGAGCCAAACGGGCACATTAAGCTCACTTCGTAATCACTTGGGAACCTCGTCTTTATCTCCAGCTTCTTGCTCCAGTTGGCGTACATATAAGCGCCCGAAAAGTTGGCTTCATATCTACATTCTTCTGATTTCTATCGAACTGACCAGATCGGTGCAACAATGAGATAAACGCATATATTGGAATTTTACACAAATGTGCAGCACATCTGCAGTAGTCTTATGTTTTGTTGACTTATCATCCAGTTCCACTGAACTGTATAAAGCTCATTTTCGATTAAACAGTATGTATACGCTTGAAACAAATTGTTAAGTCAACAAGTCATTAACATGGTAACCATTCAAGACTTCGACAGTTCTCTCAAGTGTTAGAGGTCATAAACCATATATCTGCACTAGTGGATATGCGAATGATTTATATTCAATTTTTTGCACATGTCGATTTCGCGAACCTCTTTAATGAAGCAACTTGAGGGTTTACGAGAGATAGTTTTACGTATCTCTCAAAAATAAGCTAAATTTCAACTGCATAAAAGCTTAGGCAGTTTTCCGCGGACATGTTCACACATAACCATGTGCATTCATTGTTATTTGTAACTGTTTGTAGAAAATGATCAAAATCTCACACACAAAGAGAGTGCTAGTGGAAAGCATGTTCTGAACAGCAATCAAT